TCCAAAATCACTGCAGATGGTGATTGCAGCCATGAAATTAAAAGATGCTTACTCCTTGGAAGGAAAGTTATGACCAACCTAGATAGCATATTAAAAAGCAGAGACATTACTTTGCCAACAAAGTCCGTCTGGTCAAGGCTATGGTTTTCCCAGTGGTCATGTATGGATGTGAGAGTTGGACTGTGAAGAAAGCTGAATGCCGAAGAATTGATATATGTATATGTATAACTAAATCACTTTGATATACACCCGAAACTAACACAATATTTAAATCAACTATGCTCCAGTATAAAATAAAATTCAATTGAAAAGAATGTGACTATTTTAGAAACTTCATATGTGAGGAATTATACAATATTTGCTTTTTTGTAGCTTGTTTATCTCACTTAGTATAATGTCATTAAATGTATTATCTATGTTATGGTGTGTATCAAAATTTCCTTCTTGTTTCAGGTTAAATAACATTCCATTCTGTATGTATATATATATATATATATATATATAACCATATTTTATTTATCCACTTATTTATTGATAGGCATTATTCCATGCATAGAGGAGTCTGGTGGGCTACAGTCCATGGGGTCAAAAAAAGTTGGACATGACTGAGTGACTCACAGTTTCACTTTCAAAGATGAGACTGCCAGTCATGCTTTTTTTCCATGTTGTTTTGGATATTCAGGGTCCCTTAAAAATTCTTGTAAATTTTAGGGTAGATTTTTCTATATCTGTAATTTAGAAATTTGGGCTTAACATATACAAACTACTATATATGAAATAATCAACAAGGACCTACTGGATTCTACTGTAAGAAACTGTTGGGCTATTTATAGGGATTGCCTTGACTCTGTAGATAGCTTTGGGTAGTATTGTCATCTTAGCAATACAAAGCCTTCTAATCCCTGAACAGAGAATATCTTTCCAATTCTTTGGGTTTTCTTTGATTTCTTTCAGCAGTGGTTTATAGCTTTCAATGTACAAGTCTTTTAACACTTTGCTTAAGTTTATTTATTGGTTTATCCTTTGAGATGCTCATGAAAGTGTAATTGTTCACTTAATTTCCTTTTTGGGTTATTCATTGTTCTCATGTAGAAATGCAAATACTTATTGCATGTTGACTTTGTAGTATGCAACTTCACTGAATTAGTCTATTGTTTCTAACAGGTTTTTAAAAAATCTTTAGTGTCTTCTACATATAAACTATTGAATGCAAATATAAACTACTTATAAACATTTAATACAATTATTATTTGTTTTAAGATACAATCTTTTTTTAATTTTTTTTTAATTTTTATTTTTTTTCCATTTATTTTTATTAGTTGGAGGCTAATTACTTTACATCATTGCAGTGGTTTTTGTCATACATTGAAATGAATTAGCCATGGATTTACAAATCTTTAATCTAGATTAAAGATTGTATGATTGGTACACTAAGATATTTTGCTTTTTCCTTTTCAGTTTGGATAGCTTTATTTTCTTTATTTTTCTTACCCAGTTTCTCTGGCTAGAACGTCCAACCCTATGTTAAATACAAGTGGCAAAAGTGGGCCTTTTTGTCTTATTCTTTTTTTTTTCTTTGTAAGATCTTGAATATTTATATAGCACTATAAAATAATCTAAACAAACACCAAATGTAAATTTGTATAAAATTAGATGGCAAGGGATTACCCATTATATCACTTATTATTTAACCTCATGTCTCAATAATCTTTTTTTTCCATTTATTTTTATTAGTTATAGGCTAATTACTTTACAATATTGTAGTGGTTTTTGTCATACATTGATATGAATCAGCCATGGATTTACATGTATTCCCCATCCCGATCCCCCCTCCCACCTCCCTCCCCATCCCATCCCTTTGGGTCTTCCCAGTGCACCAGCCCTGAGCACTTGTCTCATGCATCCAAACTGGGCTGGTGATCTGTTTCACCCTTGATAGTATACTTGTTTCAATGCTGAAGCAGAAAAACTTTGCATCTTTCACCATTAAGTATGATGCTAAGTTTGATGTTAGCTGTGAATTTTTCATATATGACTTTTATCGTGTTAAGGTAGTTTCTTTGAATTCCTAGTTAGTTGAGTGACTTTATCATGAAAATGTGTTAAATTTTTTCAAATGTTCAAATTTTGTCAAATGCAAGGGTTTTTTTTTTTTCCTACATCAGTTTAAAGATTTTTTTCCTTTCTGTTCATGTAGTGTTTTACATTGGTCAATATTTGTATATTGAGCCAATCGTGCCTTCCAGGTATAAATGTTTGTTAATTGTGGGTATTTTTTTAACATGGATTCAGTTTGCTTGTATTTTAGAAGGAATATTTCCACCAATATTCATTAGCAATATTGGTATATATTATAGTTTTCTTTGCTTTGGATTCAGGATAATTCTGGCCTCATAGAATGAATTAGGAAGCATCCCTTCCCCTTCAACTTTTTGGAAGAATCTGAGATTCTGTTGTTTTAAACATTTGATAAAATTCACTAATGAAGTCATCTGACCCAGAACTATTTTTGTTGTTGTAGGGATTTTTTAAAATTACCAATAAAATCTCCACATTCCTTATTGGTCTATTGAGATGTTCTAATTCTTGATGATTTAGACTTAGTAGGTTGTATGCATCTAGGAATTTATGCATTTCTTGCAAGTTATCAAATTTGTTGGCATGCATTTCTTCATAGTAGTCCCTTAAGATTATTTTTATATCTGTAAAGTCAGTAGTAATGTCCCCACTTCTGTTTCTGGTTTTACTTCTTGGAGACTTTTCTCTTTTTTTGCTAAGTTAATCTAGCTAAAGATGATCAATTCTGTGATCTTTTTGAAGGAGAAACAAGGATCTTAGTTTTATTGATTTTCTCTATTGCTTTGCTATTCTCTATTTTATTTGCCTCTACTCTAATCTTTATTATGTTCTTCCCTCTAGCTTTTAGTTTTTTTTTTTCCTAGCTCTTTAAGGTATAAAGTTAGGCTGTTCATTTGTGACACTTGTTCTTTTTTAATATAAGCACTTAAAACTATAAATTTCTCTCAGCTGAAAATGTCTGATTTTTAAAATGTATATATGAATTTTGTTTTTAAATATTATACATATATCTCTGTGTGTATGATTATGTGGGATGTATATATGATAGAATATGGCAAAATATTGACCACTGCTTGATTTAGGTGGTGAGTATGTGGAGGGTGGTTATACTGTTCTCCTTGCTTTCAAATATGTTTAAAATTCTTAAAATTCAAAAGGTTGTCTAAGTTGAGTGGAGCAAGATTAAAGAGGGTTTCGGAAACCCCTCAAAAGAGCTTAGACTATGGTTGAAATAAACAGGGAGCTGAAGTAGCTGAACAAATTTGACTGTGGTTCAAATGCTCCCCACTTCCAATAGCCTCTCATGCATGTCTCCCCAGTACATGTGTGTTTGATGGTTATAAACCAGGGATGCATGCCTCTGTAGATCTCAGATGAGGCAGATGTTTATCTCCCCAGTAGATTATTAGGAACTTGAATATAGCAACAATATGTTTTCTTCCTTTTGTCACTCCTTATAACACCTACACAGACTTCCCAGGTGGCTCAGTGGTAAAGAATCCACCTGGGCTACAGTAAATGGGATCGCAAAGACTTGGATATGACTGCTCGACTGATCGCGCACACACACACACACACACACACACACACACACTCACACACACACCCCTTAGCACAGATACTGCAGTAATTGTAAGTCACCAAGAGACTCATGAGACCTGCAAGAGGGAGATGATAGATTACAAAAAGTGCTATAATCCTTCACTCTGACCTTTATCTATGCCTCTTTGTGATGTGACTTTACAGGACTTCCTACAAGAGGCAGAACCTTTTCCTCAGTCTGCATCTGGGCTGCTCTTGCTTTGATTGGAGGACGTGGCAGGAATGTTGCTGTACTGGGTCTGAGCCTCCTTCTCCACACGCCCTACATGCCTCTTTTCCCTCTCAAGACCCTCGCAACGCCTGTCGTGTCTCTCAGACACAGGCTAGCCTGCTGTGTATTAACAGGTACTTGCTGTTGTCCGCAAAACCTCAGGTCTGAGCACCTTGTCGATTGGAAGCTGGCCACAGATGCATTACCTAACCAAACTGAAAACAGAAGTGCTGATGCACAGAAGCGTTAGCTAAATAAATGTTCTTTGTTTTAAATTACTCTATTTGGGGTGATGTTCGGCAGAGAGAAAGATAAGTGATGGAAGGAATGAGGGGGAGGAATAAGAAAAAGAAGAGGGAGAACTAGGCAGGAAGGAAGAAGAGAGGACCTGAACTTATGGACACTTTTTTCATGGAAGTCTTCCATCCTGTATTATATTTAATCAAGGTTGCTGCAGCATTGGTAGCATTCAGCACAGTCCCAAAAGTTGTGTTGCATTCCTTCTGTTTTATCAAGCTTGAGATTTGAAATACTCATACAGATGTGTGTGTGTGTTAATCAGTTGTGTGTGTGTGTGTTAATTGATCAGTCATGTGTGTGTGTGTGTGTGTGTTAGTCGCTCAGTCGTGTCCATCTCTTTGCGACCCCATGGACTGTTGCCCTCCAGGCTCCTCTGTCCATGGGATTCTCCAGGCAAGAATACTGGAGTGGGTAGCCATTCCCTTCTCCAGGGGATCTTCCTGATCCAGGGATCGAACCCAGGTCTCCCACGTTGCAGGTAGATTCTCTACCAGCTGAGCCACCAGGGGAGCCCCATTCATACAGATAAAAGAACACAGTACAATTCAGGAGAAATTTCTTCATTTGCCATTAGTTCATATGCCATTAGTTCAGAAGCAGCATCTGGCTTCTATCAAAGGGTAGGTCCTCAGTCTAACTGAGCAACTTTTCGTTTGACTAAGCCCACATACCCGAACACTATTGTTCCCCTGTGTCTATAGGACACTGATGCTTTACTTTGTAAGACTGTTGATGGAGGTGTAAGTGAGGTGATTTTTTTTTTGTAAAGGCTTTGATCAAGTTCCTGAAACCACAGACATCCTGGACTCTAATCGGAAGCTTCTAATTTCTTTTTCTCCATCCTCCTTACATCTTTCATCTGAGTAGAAAAAAATATGTATATCAGGAAATACTTGTGGAACAATATCCAGTGAAAAATACTTAGAAAAATGTGAAAAAATTGACTAATACCAAATTTGGGCTTCCCTGATAGCTCAGTTGGTAAAGAATCTGCCTGCGATGCAGGAGACCCCGGTTCAATTCCTGGGTCGGGAAGATCCACTGGAGAAGGGATAGGCTACCCACTCCAGTGTTCTTGGACTTCCCTTGTGGCTCAGCTGGTAATACTTAGAAAAAGTACTTAGAAAAACCTGAAAAAAATTGATCAGTATCAACGTTTAGATAAGAAATATTTACTTGACCTACCATCAGAATGTCAGTGTTCCATCTTGATACTGTGCAAAGAACTCAAGAAATACCTATGGACAGAGGAGCTTAAAGGAAAAATAGAAGAGGTAAAATTAGAGAAATTTCAAACCCAGTAATCACTCAATTGCTTATCACCCTGCTGAGGGTTTTGAAAATGTACAAGAAGTCTGGGAAACCAAGAGGCCAAAGTACTTATGTTATCAGAGAGTATATTGGAGAAAACAGAGGAGACCTAGAATACAGACATCTGAGCTTCTATTGCTTCTGTAATTTTGACTTCAGCCATGTTTCTTTTAGATCTTCATCTTTCCATTCAATGGACTCATCCAACAGATCAAAATAAAATTACTAATAAAGGAAATCAGTCCTGAATATTCATTGGAAGGACTGATGTTGAAGTTGAAACTCCAATACTTTGGCCACCTGATGCAGAGAACTGACTCATTTGAAAAGACCCTGATGCTGGGAAAGACTGAAGGCAGGAGGAGAACGGGACGACAGAGGGTGAGATGGTTGGATGGCATCACCGACTCAATGGACATGAGTTTGAGTAAACTCCGGGAGCTGGTGATGGACAGGGAGGCCTAGCGTGCCAGGGAGTCCATGGGGTCGCAAAGAGTCAGACACAGCTGAGCAACTGAACTGAACTGAACTGAACTGAATGCCAGTAAATTTAATTCAATGTATCAGTATTCCTGGACCTGTCAGACAGTCAAGCTGCAGTAATCAATGGGCTTCCATGCCCCTCCCATCTCACCCTCCCTCCCTCCAGAGTCAGAACAACTGGAGGAAACCAGTGGTTCCCAACACACTTGTGCAACAGAAAAATAAATGACCCAATAAAAAAATGGGCCAAAGAACTAAACAGACATTTCTCCAAGGAAGACATACAGATGGCTAACAAACACATGAAAAGATGCTCAACATCACTCATTATCAGAGAAATGCAAATCAAAACCACAATGAGGTACCATTACACACCAGTCAGGATGCATGCTATCCAAAAGTCTACAAGCAATAAATGCTGGAGAGGGTGTGGAGAAAAGGGAACCCTCTTACACTGTTGGTGGGAATGCAAATTAGTACAGCCACTATGGAAAACAGTGTGGAGATTTCTTAAAAAGCTGGAAATAGAACTGCCATATGACCCAGCAATCCCACTTCTGGGCATACACACCGAGGAAACCAGATCTAAAAGAGACACGTGCACCCCAATGTTCATCGCAGCACTGTTTATAATAGCCAGGACATGGAAGCAACCTAGATGCCCATCAGCAGATGAATGGATGAGGAAGCTGTGGTACATATACACCATGGAATATTACTCAGCCATTAAAAAGAATTCATTTGAATCAGTTCTAATGAGATGGATGAAACTGGAGCCCATTATACAGAGCGAAGTAAGCCAGAAAGATAAAGACCATTACAGTATACTAACACATATATATGGAATTTAGAAAGATGGTAACGATAACCCTATGTGCAAAACAGAAAAAGAGACTCCGATGTATAGAACAGACTTGTGGACTCTGGGAGAAGGCGAGGGTGGGATGTTTCAAGAGAACAGCATCGAAACATGTATATTATCTAGGGTGAAACAGATCACCAGCCCAGGTTGGGTGCATGAGACAAGTGCTCGGGCCAGGTGCACTGGGAAGACCCAGAGGGATTGGGTGGAGAGGGAGGTGGGAGGGGGGACCGGGATGGGGAATACATGTAAATCCATGGCTAATTCATCTCAATGTATGACAAAAACCACTGCAATGACGTAAAGTAATTAGCCTCCAACTAATAAAAAATAAATAAATAAATAAATAAATAAAACAAAATGGACATCTCTGAGGGCAGGAGCCTGATCATCTAAATTCAGAAAACTCCAGTTAGTTTCCCTGCAGCCATCAAAGTGCTGCTCCATGACCAGATTTTTGGAACCCATCTGGACAATATGAAATTATGGTCAAGAGTCATAGGGTATTTGTAGAGCTTTTGGTAAATTGATTTCTATAGCATTTGTCTGGGTTCTTCCATATAAATGCACCATCTAAGTGGGGTTCTGAAGCACAGAATACAAACAAAAACGTACAGAATGAAGTGGGCAGGTGGAAAGTATAAAAAACCTGGAGACCAATGCCCTTTCTAAAAGCCATAGCCTGTTCCTGCCACTGAGGGTGCAGGTTTTGTTTCTCAAATGTATCTAGAAATCCAGATATTTTAAAGTGAAATTTATCTATTTAAAAAGGTTAGCAACTTATTTTTTAAAGCTTAAAAACACTGACCTTGGACCCTACTGGATATTTCTCTGGGCTTGAACAAGACAACCCTATGAGCTACCTTAGGTTGTCTGCAGATGCAATGTTGCCTTTGCAGGAGTTGACTTTGCAATAAGTGTTCTGGGACCTCCCAGCCAGCGCAATGGTTAGGACACCCCCTTTCACTGCCAACCGCCTGGCTTTAATCCCTGGTCAGGGAACTAAGATCCTGAGAGCTGTTTAGCGTGGCAAAATAATAAAATAAAAAATAAGGTATAATAAATGTCCTGAAGTATTGCAAGTATCAGAAGACTTAGACACAACAAGGAAATCACACTAGATTGAATAATGACTAATCTTCACAAAACATGTTTTCATCTTGGTATGCATTACTGTAATATGACCTCATCCTAAAGACAGGATGATATGGGATTCCACAATACCGCTCTCCCCGCATATAACCTCAAGCCTGAGCACTTATTTCCTTTCAGTGTCTATTTGCATGAGTTTATATGCACAGAATGATTGTTTGGCTTGAGGAAGTCATGTTATGCACAGACATTGGGTATAAAACAGTCTTGGAACAATGGCCCACTCTCAGTGTTTCCTGAGCGGTAGGTTTTCAGTTCTCATGGAGAAGAGTGCTAAAAGCCACAGGATAAAAGAGTTCTTTCCTTGAAAGATCTTGTGAGACTCTTAGCCCAAAGAGCGCCCAGATGAGAACATCAACACAGAGTCAGGCAGATGGTCATTCTTTCTGCTGCTCCTCAAGTTACCATATGGCTCCGGCCCTTGGAAGACTCAAAGACAACACAGCTTCATTTGGCATCCCAAGGATGTGGTGGTTCTTAGTAGATTGGGTCGGGCATTCAGCATCTTATGGAGGATGGCACTGGAAGTGACAAATGACCTCTTCTGAGACATTTGGCAGCAGCCACTGTCCACAAGGAGACCGGGTTGACCTAAGCCAACTCATTCCTGTATATCAGTGAAATGACCCAGGGGATAGCCAGAAAATTTTGATCCTTGGCCACCATATACCTACCACTATCACCGCTATGGCCCTACTGGAATGCATTACTCACCCTAATGGTACTTTTATTAAGGCTGACCTAGGTTAATCAGCTCTTCAGAGTTGTTAGGTTCTTTTGGGTGGATATTGGTTGCCTCCAGTGATCAGTGATGGTTGGAGCCATTTTTTTTTCTCTGCAATATCATTGCCAGATATTGTGCTTTAAAGAAAGCAAAAACCATACCTAAGTGCCATGTTGATGCTACCAAAAGTACCATCGATATTGCTGTAATATTGCCACAAGTACCAATATTGATTGGTGAGCAGGTTTTAAGATATCTGGATAATGTGGTCTTGCAAGTCAAGGGAAGCCCCACTCTCCACCCTTTCCACTCTCTCCTCTCTACGCACTCTCCAAGTCACCTGCACTAAAGGCTCATCCAGCCAGAACAAGTATTCTGATGGCAGAAACAGCTATGTTCCTAGTTTTATTAGAGCAAAGAATTCTCTGTAAAGTGGGGAACTCGGGAATGAGTAGAGTTTGAAATCTAGGGTACTTCCCAAGCCTGCTGGGATTGTCAGAGTGTTAATCAAACAAGCATAGATTTTTTTCTGTTCAAATCTTTCTGCCTGACATATATTGACATTATTCATTTATCCAATGACATAATTTAATATTCTTTATGTTAATTAATAAACCCTCTAGTGCCAAATCAGACTGATATGTGAGGCACTTACTGTAGCAGAGCGTGAACTACACAGTAAGGTTTTCAGATTCTAACCAACCCATTCTGATATATTCTAAAACGTAAGTTAGCAACTAACATACTTCACATGCTATGCAGCCATTCCTGCACTCTAGATTAATGTTAATTTATATATGCACATACACCCCACACTGCGAAGTTGAAGCACTTCAAATAAATTTTAGAAAAGAGAGTAATATTCCAAGAAACTCACTTTTCAGTGGATTCAGTTTACAGTGAAAGAATCCCTTAGGATTTACTGATCTTACCCTCCAATCCATCATGTAGGAGCAGCTAACTCTGTTAAAGTCAGTTGAGTGCTTCGTGAAGACTCTCTGTTAACTAAGGGAAAACACCCAACAAGACAGAGGTGTTGTGCTTAGAACTGGAATTCACTCCACACCAACAACCAGAAATGGAGCTTTTTCTTCCTGAAGCCGCAGGTGCAGGATCCAAGAGATCAGAGTGAAAGGATCCCCTCTTAGTTTTACACACATAATAACCATCTCACAAATTTCATCTTATGCAGTAGCACAATGGATTAATCAACACCCATGTTCTTGATCGATATTCCCATATCACAGACATTTATTTTGGTTTAGTCAGTTGCTGGGAAAGCTCAGGGTAGGCAGGTGTGTTACAGCTTCAGATTCAATGGGACCATTCTTGAGTCTCTTAGTGGAAGCACTATTCTGAAATAGCGAAATCTAGAAACCATAGGAGCCTGCGATCTCAGTATTGGACAACAAAAGAGTGATAATTAACAATAACAACACTTTCTTCCTGATGATAATTTGAATCTCATTTCACTATTTGGGGGATTTCTCACATTATGAGTGGAAGAGAAGCAGAGACTAATTCCACCCCAAAAGCTCAGGCACTCCCTTTCAAGCCCCCTCTGTAGTCAGCACATGGGCACGTGACTGCACACCCAATACCGAGCAACCACTGGACCTTGAAGAAGGACCTGGTAAAGCAAAAAAATCAAGGCAGGAGAAAGTTCTCTGAAAGTAGATGTGGGGTGCATCCATTTTCCAAGAGCACCATCACCTGAAATGCCAGCAACAGTGTTCAGTTAAGTCCCTGACTGTCCTGGTGAATAGAGCTCATATGTGTTCTGAGTGAGTGAAAGTTGCTCAGTCGTGTCCATCTCTTTGAGACCCCATGGACTATATGGTCCATGGAATTCTCCAGGCCAGAATACTGGAGTGGGTAGCCTTTCCCTTCTCCAGGGGACCTTCCCAACCCAGGGATGGAAACCAGGTCTCCCGCATTGCAGGCAGATTCTTCACCAGCAGAGCTACAAGGGAAGCCCATATGTGTTCCAATGCTGTGTAACAAATGGCAGCCGTTTTAGCACCTTGGAATCTTCCCGGGTGGTTCAGATGGCAAAGAAACCGCCTGCAATACAGGAGACCCAGGTTTGATCCCTGGGTGGGGAAGATCCCCTGGAGAAGGAAATGGCATCCCACTCTAGTATTCTTGTCTGGAGAATTCCATGGACAGAGGAGCCTGGCAGGCTACAGTCCATGGGTTTGCAAAGAGTCAGACGTGCCTGAGAGAGTAACACTTAGCACCTTAAAACAATGGAAATGTATTCTCTTTCGGTTCTGTAGGTCAGAAGTTTGGGATGACATGACTGATTTCTCCAGTCTGGGTCTCATAAGAAAAAACAGTCAAGGTGGTGGCCTGCCCGAGCTCTTATCTGGAGACTCTGAGACAGAATCCATGTTCAGGAATGGCTCTGCCATGCACTCTGCTGATCCTGCAGGTTTCTGCATAGACCAAGCAGGTGAAGGCTCCAAGCGCAGCTCTTCTCAGCCTCGGCAGGGTGCCCATGATCTCCCCAGAGCAAGAAAGCATGGAAGCATCGTAGGAAACTTCTGCGAGATCATCTTTCCCTGCACCTAATCTTCCTATGAGACATTTCCTCATCACCTCCCAGGTTATGATGAGGTATGGGACTTTCTTCCATGCTCCTTTCCTCCATCAGAATAGAGTTATAGGATAGAAAACTGCTAAGCTGTAGCCTTGAATTGGCACCTTAGCAATGAGATATTCCACAGTTTGCATTATAGTCTCCTGGACCCTTTTGCTGAATGTCATCCTTTCTGGTGTGTGGGACCAGAGCCTTTGGTTGATCTTCCATGTGCTGTTTATGTGCTGTTTATGTGCTGTTTATGTTCCATGTGCTGTTTATGTAAGTAGTAAACTGTCTGAAGCCCAAAGTGTTCGCTGAAGTGCAGGTTGAAGCAGTTGCCTTGTCTTGGGTGTGATTGTTGATCCACTTCTAAGGCTCATTCAGAGTGTTGGCAGAATTCAGTTCTCTGTAGTAGTCGGTTGAGCTCCCCACATTTTAGCTAGCTGTCATAGGGGACCCTCTCTCAGCTCCCTAAGGCCACCTACACTTCCCCTCATGTTTCTGGCTCCATCTTCAAGTCATCAGTGGTGCAGAGTCTTACTCCTGCTTGGAATTTGACTTCTCCCCCTGCCATATCTCTCCTGCCTCTGGTCAGAAAATTCTCTGTTTTAAGGCTTATATGATGAGACTGGATGAACCTGGATGAAACAGGGTAGCCTCTTTATTTTAGGGTCCATTATCAGAACTACACCCACAAAGCCCCTTTTGCCACATAAAGTATTCTAGTTATAGTTTCTGGGGACCGGGATGCAGACTTCGTTGGGGCTCCATTTTGCCAATTACAATTGGCCATGATGTTGGTTTCCCAACAGACCAGATTTCTGTGTTGTTTTTGTTTTCTATTGCTTTGACTACATGGTCCACAAGTTTACTGGTCCAGCATGCTCAGCTATTCAAGCTACTGTGAGTAGCTAATATTCTAATATAAATTCATTTTCTTTTTTTTGTTGTTGGTTTTTTTTTTTCATTTTCTTTTTGTAAGGGTCATTTTCTGTTTCTTGCAACTAAAGCTGACACATGATTTTCAGCAGTGTTGACAAATACCCAATGACATTTCCTAGGGTTTAAAATTCTTTTCCAAATTATTATAGCTCATAGCCTGGCTAACTACTCTTTAGTAGAACCAACAACTGATGCATTTGTTTCTTTGTTGGACAGTTTCACCTCAGACTTCTGCTATCAGTGACTATAACTCTAGCTTATGAAGTCATCCCTGTATCCATGACTGACCATTAGAAAAGAAAATGATTGAAGAAATAAGCGCCCAGAGACTGACACCTTGCTTCTCACTCTCAGGAAGAATCTTAAAACCTGCTCCTCATGCCTCAGTCTGAGCCCCAATCAAGACTGTTACACAAATTATACAAATATCATCTGGAGTTCTAGAGAACCATCACTCCACTTCATTTGGTTAATTTCTTGGGACTATAAGTAGAAATAAGCATTCCCCTTCCTCTCCCTGGTGGATCAGATGGTGAAGACTCTGCTTGCAATGTAGGAGACCTGGCTTCAATCCCTGGGTTGGCAAGATCCCCTGGAGAAGAGAATGGCTACCCACTCCAGTATTCTTGTCTGGAGAATTCCATGGACAGAGGAGCCTGGCAGGCTACAGTCCATGGGGCCTCAGAGACATGACTGAGTTACTAACACTTTTATGTTTCCTCTAGGAGAGGATTAGAGATAATCCCACAATGCCCTGCTTCCAGACCTACTTAAGTACCATTTGTGCTCTCATCTCTTTACTGCTGTCTCCACTGCCGTCCTCTTCCTGTTTGGATCATCTCATCATCCCGTATGTTCCCTGCACCTTCCTGCCCCTACAAAGCTTCTACTGTGAGCCTTGGATTTCCTTTTCTGGGAAAAGTAAATCTTCTTCTAACTCTTCATGGCTTTCAGTTCAGTTCAGTTCAGTCCAGTCGCTCAGTTGTGTCCGACTCTTTGTGACCCCATGGACCGCAGCAAGCAAGGCCTCCCTGACCATCACCACCTCCCAGAGTTTACCCAAACCCATGTCCATTGAGTCAGTGATGCCATCCAACCATCTCATCCTCTGCTGTCCCCTTCTCCTCCTGCCTTCAATCTTTCCCAGCTTCATAGCTTTACCTTTATTGAAAACCATCTTTCTCCAAGGAACTCCATTTCTGCCAAGTTTTTTTTCAAGGGGAGACCTTTCATCTCCCTCTCCTGCCCAGGACTGCAGGACAGTGAGGCGGTGTGTTTCTCCTCTCTGCCGCTGCCACATCTCTCCTTGATTTTCTCATAATATCCCAGCCCCTCTGACACTCGGACCATCAGCACAGACTAGAGGGGCCGCCCCTCCAGCCGCCGTCACCTGCAGACATCTTGCTGTTTCTCATTCCTTCACTGAAGACATGCTTCCTGTGGCCTCTGCTCAGACTCCATCTTCTTAGAGACGCTTTCTAGGACCACCTCATCATGAGTCATTCTGCCTCCTCCCCACCCGACTTTTTCTCTAACTCTTCACCATATTCATTTCCTTTGTAGCATTTATATTGTAAAACTGTTTATTAACTTATTTTTTCATTCACTTGAAATATATTTCTCTGGCCAGAATAAATCGGAGTTTTGGTCTATTTATTTCACAGTTGTGTCCTCAATACCCAAAGCAGTATCTGACACCTTAAGTAAAATTGCCTACCTGAAGTTGGGTTAAAATAGCTATACATGTACTTCATAGCTCTACCTGGTGTTTTACCTAAGTAACCAATTTTCCATACTATTCATAGAATAATAGGATTCCTTCTCACTCACATGCAGTGTTTTCTGTATTACTCATTGCATTCTTACATATGGTCTATTTCATGATTTTTTTCTCTCTGTCACTTGGATGCATATGCCTGATAGTTCTGGCAAATTAATCAATTTTTATCACTGTGAACTGATAAATTTTGCAATAAATGATGAGCTACATGCTTAGTAGGTTCAGTCATGCCGGATTCTTTGCGACCCCATGGACTGTATCTTGCAAGGTCCCTCTATCCATGGGATTCTTCAGGCAAGAATACTGGAGTGGGTTGCCATGCCCTCCTCCAGGGGATCTTCCTGACCCAGGGATCAAACCAGCACCCCCTGCATTGCAGGCTGATTCTTTACCACTGAGCCCCCAAAGAAGGCTGCAGTAAATGATGGGAAAGTTATTACTTTTTCCCTCTTAAGCTTTTCATTGAAAATCTTTTCCAGATGAACAACAGATTTCAGACTTGGGGGCATTTTCAATGTAGAATGAAAACGGAACAGATCATGAAGGGAGAAAGATTCTAAATTTGTTTATATAAAAATATGAACCTCTGACTTGGAAAACATCAGTAATGGAACTTTCCTGGTGGTCCAGTGGTTAAAACTTCATCTTCCAGTGCAGGGGGTGCCTGGTGGGAAAGCTAAGATTGCACATACCTTGCGGCCCAAAATGCAAAATGGAAAACAGAAACAACATTATAACGAATTCAATAAAGATTTTAAAAATGGTCCACATCACAAAAAAAATTTTTTAAATCAGTAACAAACTTGGGAGAAGCATTGGCATGCCACGTAGCAGTATTTGGGTAGGGGTCTAACGGATACTGTGAGTCCTCCTGATATCAGGTTGTAGCACTTCCTTCACTGCTCTGGGAGGAAATAGCCTCTACCTGCAGACAAGCTACCCAACTGCCAGGAGATGCTTTGAGAGGAAAGGGATGCTGCAACCTGCCTTGCATCAGAGGGCTCTGGGAGCCAGTCTGAAAGAGGAACATGACTATTGGACACATTCCAATGTGTCTGCAGATCTGGCAGGTAGACTGGACAGAAAGGGGAAAATTGTGTGAGTATATCTGCTGAAAGAAAGTGTCAGAACCTCGAGATCAGTAGGGAGATGGCGTCTAAGAAAAGTCTGAAGTTGGCCTGGTCCCCACAGCACACCTGTGCTGTCTGAGAAGGGGGACCCCAGCCTGCTGGATAGTTGGGGAATCTCACTACCCTGGAGTGGGAAACCTCTTAGGAGCAGGGTAAAAATGTAGAGGAACTTATCAGACTGACCAGAGAGAAGAGCCCCCACGTTGGTTCAGGAATATGGTGAAAAGCTTCAGGCTGATTGTCAGGGACTTGGAGACAGAAGGAGCAGCCATCAAGAAAAGGTATGGATATCTGATCCTTACGGGTGTTCCTCCCCTTCCCTTACCAGGTTCCTAAAGAATAATGTGGTGAGGGGGACCCCAGAACTGCTTGAGGCTCTGAACATTAAGATTTGCAGAAAATTTGTCATCAGTGATAGGTGAGACCAAGACACCTATGGATTACCAACAGAAGAGACAAAGACAATAATTATCACTCACATAAGAAGTATTCTTAACACTGAAACAAAGCACTGTCTTTCCAGTGGGGGGAAAAAAAAGGTCAGTGAATATCAACAGATAATTTACTAGTGAATATAGGAAACCAGAATATGTCACCCCCAAAATATGCCTCTTTGACCTAAAAATGATTTTGAGCTGAAGGCAATTAAGAAACAGTAAACACAGAAAAAGCTCTCCTTTTTTCACCTGAAGGAAGAATACAAACTCTCTTTTCTGGAAATAGATTTTTATTAGCACAGATATGTCACCAGTGGACTCTGCAGACAAACCTTTGTTAAGCCCTTATTTTCCTAGTTACTTCTTCACTGTTTACTACCTCTAGTCCAAACCCTTTGTCTTGTCAATTCTTTGCAAATGCATCGATTCTTTGTCTAAAAGTCATAAAAGCTTCCTGCTCTGGTCCCTTCTTCTGGTCTTCATTCTCTTGTGAAGACTCCCTTGTGCATGTAAAAATTCAATAAGAAGTGTCTGCTTTTCTCTGACTGTCTTTGTCAGTTTAATTTTCAGACCCAGCCAGGGACCCTAAGAAGGTTGAGAAAAAATATTTTTCTGCCCTGCATGAAGAACCGTGACTTATAAATGTACGTGTATAAACATTCCATTTAAAAATGAAAGAAGAAATAAAAATTAAAATGATAAGATACATGAAATTATCACCTGAACCGACATACAGAAAATGTGAAACACAGCAATGTAGGTGGAAAAGAGAAGACCCAGGAGTTCCAGAGGGAATAAAAATGATAAGAGCTTTCCAAGAAGAGATTTGACAATAAATATCAAACATCTAAGAAAAGGCTCATATTCCTTGACATAGTAATTTTACTTTTAAGACTCACTCCAAGGAAGTCACTACAGCAGGGGACAAATATTTACAAAGATATGCATGGTAGCATTTTTATAATAAAAAACATTGAAAACCCAAATACCTAGGAAATGGCTAATTAATAGATTGCACGTTACACAGTCTTTGAAACAATATTTTAGAGTAATTTCAGTGACATGGAAAATATTCACTATCTAATGTACAGTAGAAGGAGAAAAATAGATGCATACCTGTGTATAGTATGATTATATATAAGCCATAAAAATCACTGAACTGTATCTCGGATATCACCCAGGCCCCTGCAGGGGGCATTTTTACGCATAAAGAAATGTAGGTTCAAAATGAGAAATTAAGGGACTTTCCTGGTGGTCCAGTGGTTAAGGCTCTGGCTTCTGCTACAGTGGGCAAGAGTTCGATCCCTGGTCAAGGAACCAGATTCCACATGCTGTGGGTCACAACCAATTGGAAAAGAAGTTACAGATCAAAGAGAATAAAGGACTTCTTCAAAGTCACAGAGTTAGGAATGGACTGGACTGGAATTCTAGCCCTGGTCTTGGAAACTCCCCATTCATAGCTCCTGGAGTTTGCTCACATAAATTTCCTAACTCATGTCATGCATTTTTAGGAGTTTCCAGCCTCCTACCTGCATCAGCACATTTCTGTCTTTTCATCTGCATTACCCTTATCAACCTATTAGGACTGTGGTCCTTCAGACTGTTATCTCCAGATCCATATCTGACAGCATTCAGGGAATTTTTTTTTAACTGCTTTGCATCCTCTCTTCTCTAGATTCTTTTGTTCTTCTTATCTGGACCATATCATCAATACTTTAAGAAATACACATTCCAATGGGAAATGTCCCAAGACCTTCTTAAATCCACACATTTGAAAATACCACCATTATCTATCATTCTCTCCATAAAATATTATGAAATATAATGTAAAATTTTAAGTAACCCCCTTAGACAATGACTGATTCTGTAAATTCAGTACTAATGCCTTTTATACAGATATTAAAATTAATCCTGGTGGAAGCAATTGCTGAGATAGTTATCACTGATTGCTTACTCTTGTCTCTCTGTAGAGTACATTATAGTTCTGAATTGAACTCACTATTTGAGTCCTTAACATTATTTTCTGGCTGAGAAACATAACGTTTGAGCACCTTAACTTTTATCCCAAACTTAGTTGTTGACTTTCTCTCAAGGTCATTTTTCAAAAGATCTAAAAGTGTAGCTTTTTTTGGTGTTGCTTTATTTTTAACTTTAATCATGAACTGTAGTGAATACACAGGGCCAGGCAGACAACAGAGTCAAGATTTATATATAGAGCATCTGTTAAGCTTACCTACCAAGAGACTCAGTATCCTAGCCAATTCTAGAACATCAAGTTCAAATTCATAAGGTCTGCAAAATTACTAATGAAGCTATATATTCCCAAATAGTCGAAATCTTAAATGTTATGCACAAAAGTCAAGAAGCCATTGTTTTATTGTCTTGTGGTTCTTGATTCCCAGAAAGATACTTTATAGTCTTTATTATTATATATTTTATTCCATTTCCATTGGTGGCACTAGTGGTAAAGAATCCGCCTGCCAGTGCAAGAGATATAGGAGACGTGGGTTCAATCCCTGGGTTGGGAAGATCCCCCAGAGAAGGATATGGTAACCCACTCCAGTATTCTTGCCTGGAGAATCTCATGGACAGAGGAGCCTGGTGGGCTACAGTCCACAGGGTCGTAAAGAGTCTGATGCGAAAAAGCACGCGCGCGCGCGCACACACACACCTTATTCCATTTCCAAACAGCTTAAATAGAGGCCAGTGTCTTTGAGATCTATTGAGATCTGTTGAGATCTATTTCCAATCTCAATTGGAAAATTGAGATTTTCCAATGTCTCCTATATAATAGTCCTAGATGACACCCAGTTTACTCAAGGATGCTCTTTATCTTGTCATTAAGATCATAGACCTGATCAGAGATAGAAGCACTGACCTTTAGATCTCAAAGCATGAAAGCATGTTTTTGTTTTCTTTTTTTCCTTTAAACTGTGTCTCCTCTTAATTTCAGTGCTGCTGCTGCTGCTCCTAAGTCATTTCAGTCGTGTCCGACTCTGTGTG